CCATGGGAATAGAGGAGTGGAGAGCGAAAGAGAGGAAAGCCTGCAGAAACAGAAAAGATAAAAGAAGGAAAGAGATGGAGAAAATGCAGCAGTGGGAGGAGAGCTTGAATGAGACAGACTTGGGTTACAGGGAGAGAAACTGGGAGGGAATGATGGGAAATGCAGAAGGTAAGCAGCTATTAAAAATGGAGGATGAATTTAAAATTAGCTGTCCAACCCACTCTCAGAGATGAACACAGTGATCCACAATCCCATATGGATGTGGACCTGAACCTGAAAAGTCTTTGGGTTTCAGCAGTGCCTCCATTTGGCAGTCTGATCAGGACTTGGATATAGGTTTAAAGCTCCCACACACTCTGTGAGTCCTTGCAACAAGCCTTGTGATCCAGGTCTCTGCTGTGGATTGAGCTTGGCAGATTTGCTTGATGGTCAAGGGGAACTTGGGTTGCACGGCTCTACCTTGGAAGCAGCCAGAACACAGGCCACTGGGTCAAGATTTGTTTGTGGGATTTTGGGCACACTTGGACCTGAAACTCCTGGTGGGTGGGAGAAGCAGCTTCCCATGGGGCTCCTATTGGTTAAATCAGCCTTCTCCCTGACTGCATGTGCATTTCCCGGCAGGTCAAGGCAACAGACGGTGGCAGCCCACCACTTTCCTCCCATGTGAGGCTTCACATCAGCTGGGTCGCCCGGCCCAGCCCTTCCTCGGAGCCACTAGCTTTCGATGAACCCCATTTTAACTTTGCCGTGATGGAAACAGATCCTGTAAACCATATGGTGGGAGTGATCAGCATTGAAATGGGCCCCAGCCAAGTGTGGTTTAATATCACAGGTGAGACACAGAAATTAAACCAGGGCAGCGGCGTCTGGGAGCGTTTGCCCCAGCTCCCTTGGCTTTCAGCACTCGCATGCCTGAGCTAATGAAGTTGTTTGCTTTAGGTGTAGGAGAGCTACAGGGAAAGCTTTCTCACAGACACCAAAGGCTTAAGCAGCCATAGACAAAGCTGCCCGTCCAAGGGCTCCAGTGCCAAGTGCAATTATCTAACACACTTTTTTAATGACATTCTGGGACTTGCCAGTGTCTGAGGTGTTCTCCGATGTCGCATGAAAGGCAAGGCATGCCAGTCCCAGCTCCTCCTGGGAATCGAGTGACACTGTTGGTTGTAGTAAAACAGCCTGCGAGGATCCAGGTGTCTGGCTGGGTCTTGCAGACACCCCCTGTCTCTCCCTCCCTGCTGAGCCCATAGTCTCAACAGGGAGCCAAAAGGGAAGGACTCCTCAAAGAGCTGGGCTGACCTAACTGGTGGGGCTCTCCTTTCCTCCTCACAGCACCCCAGGGATGAATTAGACCTGAAACATGAAGAAGCTCTAGGGCCTCTTCTAAGACACACAATGCTAGGGCAGAGGGGACGTGGGCTATCACCCCAGGGGACTCATCAGGCAGCACATGTGCAGAACTGGTCCTGTGAACGAGGGCCAATTGTGCTCATGTAACTTGATGTTTTGAAGTGGTGCCCCAATCCATCTTGCACAGCCTTTCCCTGACACTGCCTGCAGGGCTTGCCCTCATCAGACAAAGCCTTAATTGGGCAAGTGAACAGTTTTTCCCGTTACTTTGTTAGGGCAGGGATAATGGTGTATAAATACAATTAAGCCATAAGAGATACAATGCTACAAGGAGCAGACAATATCAGTGCAAGGCTTATCTGGCATTAGTAGTGTCTCCTTGGGTTTGCAGAATTAACAGTATATTCATCTGAATATTATTCCATTGTTTCCCTGCTGAGTGATTGCCTGTATGCTCAACCTCATCTTTGCCAGTTTCTAGTGCACCAAGTGCTACTTAGGGCTCTCTTGGTTTCTATACTGGTGGAAGAGGACAGGTTTTCATTCTCCCTGCTAAGGAAGCAAAGCATCACGGTAGCTGGCAACCAAGTGGGTGATGCAGAGATCCAGGAGCCTTCAGCACCTCATTCAAAAATTCGCCTTTTCCAGTCCACAAAGGCTCTGTCACTGGGGTTGAGGGTGTCTGCAAAAACTCTGACAAGGCAGCATCTTTCTTCATCCCTTTCCTTTCCTGGGCTTTGTCTTTCCCTTTGGCACAGTGCAAAGGGAGTCCTCTTTTCTCAGGGAAAGGCATCCATGGGTCTCTCTTTTCCTCTGCCTCTGCTTCTTTCTGTCTCCTTCCCAGCAGGAAAATGGTGGTCCAGATTGCTGGCAACCACTGCATTTCTCCCACAAGGGGAACATGTGTAATTTAACAACCAGCCAAGATTTTCCCAGCTGGTAAGAGAATAAAGCAGAATCCAGAGCATCCAGTAGCCAGGAAGGGAGAAGTTGAGACCTGGGATAAAGCACAGAAAACTGCTTCTACCTCTCCATATCTCAGAACAGCAGAGCGGTGTTTCACGTGCAGTAGAGAACTAACAGGCCACCAGCAAGCAAGGCATGAGAAAGGAGCTGCCACGCCAGAGCTGAACAGCAATAGCATGAGGGACAGCCTTCTGCTGCTGAG